CAGCAAAATACCTTAAAACTGGACAGATACTGCTAGGGGTATAGAGCTGCTGAAGAGGCTTCAGATCCCACTTACACTATTGTTCCGTTTCCTACAAATGCAGGCTGCTGTTGACAGAAAACAGAGCATGTATGTTTAAGGGTAGATGAATGGAATTGGAGAATACACAGGCCTATGAGTGAAGAACAGAGGCTTTACTCTAAATTCTTATACAGATTTGTTGTTTGACCTTAGGCAAGCTTCTGCCAGTTTGCCACATTCATACTACTTAAGTCACAGAAGGCAGTTAGACTTGTGTAGTGCTGACTTAGATTAAGAGCACAAATAAACATGAATGTAGAAAGAAACATGAGAATGTGCTGTGTATTTTTTCTTAAGGTATTAAAGTGCCTTTGCAGCTTTTCTGTTTCTTAATTCTGTGATGTGCATAGCAGTAACTAGCAAAGCTAAGCAGTCAGCTAAACCCTAAACTAAACGTTCTTCTTGGTTAGAAAATATTGATGTAAGAATAGCAGCTTATCTACAGGTGAGATGCATGAAAAAGGCAGAATGAGATGTATGGAGATTTTAGTCAAACGGAATAAAGATTTTTGTTTAGGTTACAGTCATTAAACTTCCAGTGAATTGGACAGAACTGTTTAAGTGCCCCTCACTCACCATGGGAACAGATTTCATAGTCAAGCACAAGTGACTGTCCAAAACTGCTGTTTAAACTTCATTAATTGAATATTATCAAATTCAGAGTTAGCTTTCACTGTGAAAAGAATGAGGGTGCAGATTTGCATTTAAACATACAAGAATTCCAGTTCCTTTGGAAAACACACCATGGTTAAAATGCACAGCCACTCACTACAGGCAAGCAACTCCCATATCCCTGCCAACATAAAGGCAGGGAGGTTATAAACTCGTACACATAAAAAGAAAACAAAAATGTTTTTCTTATCTAGCTAGGGTTTTAGGACTGTGATCAGAGTAGTCTTTGTAATTCAACCTAGGAGCAAAGACCAAACCTTTCAGTAGAGCTACCAGTGTTTCTTGCATAAAAGCGCAGGATTCACAGACATTTACAGTGCAGGGCTCTCACCTCTGGATTTTATTTTCCTTAGCTGACCTGAAAACAGATTAAACCCATTGGCACATAGGTACAGTGAAAGACCTCTCTCTCCACAGGTGTTTGCCTGGAGGCTGTGGGAGGGGTTGTGTTTACTTTGGGAATTTGCCCCAGTCTTCTCTGCCTAGAATGGAAAACCTCTCTATTTTCTCTGTGGGTTGCACACATGGCATTGGCATGCAAGGACAGCCTCCTTCTGGCTCTTGTAAATGCACATGGACTTTTAAAAGTCTATTTACAAAAGCAAAGATCCTGTTACTTGAATATATTTACGATATAGGGCAAATCTTTGTTGATGTGGTCTCAAGTTTGTCGTTCTCTTAGAAAATTAGGGTTCAAACTGGCAAAACCACAAGGAGGCTAAAGGAGTAGAAAGGAACAAAGGATTAGAAAGGAACAAAGGATTAATAAAGTTTCATCCCATACTTTGCTAGTCTTTAAAATATGACAGTGTTGAGTTGGAACACTGCATCTGACTGATGACCCAGCACCTGAAATAGGCAGCTGAAAAACCCTGTATGTTTTTCACTATCTTATCTTCCACATACTGAGTAAGGACAACCCCAAGTTTCATACAGATAGTTGCTACTCCATCCACATATGCTAAAAGGATGAAAGAAATTTCATCACAAAGACCCAGAGAAAGAACTTCCTGGTCAAAAGAAGACCATCTGACACACAGTGTTGCAACCTGCCTATAACATTACCTGTTTCCATGTGGAGATCTGCCAAGGCAGAAACTGTCTCTGGAAAGAGGAAGATTCAGAGATACGAGAAATACAGGCTGTCTCTGGATACTCACGATATCTGCTCTCCCTCTCCAGGAAATGAATGCATGCAGCCTGCAGAGTTTAATTCTCTTTTGGTTTATTACTATTTAAAAACCAGTTTTTGCATCCCCTTCTACAGAGGCTTCACCTTCCAACAGAACATACAAAAAAATACACACAATAGAAAAAAAAAAAGATAGGTAGGTAAGTTGCTTTATACAAACAGGTCCCTAAGAACCCAAAAGGCTAAAACAGGCTCGGTTTCAATAGAAGCAGGCCCATAAATAGGCAAGAAACTTCATTCAAGTAGGGAAAGAGTCATCCATCCTCACCTAAGATCCTTTCTTGCTCACACTGAAGATAATGGGAGGATTCCCAACAACTTCAGTAGAAGCAGGATTGAGATTCATCAGAGCCAATGGCAAACGTTTCTGCTCCTTCCCTTCCAAGGCACTGTCTTGTCCACACTGCATGCAGCCAGGGAAAAATGCCAGTCTTCCTGGCTCATCCCCACACTCGTGTTTCGGTTGTTTGCTCTACAGGACATCTGAGAACAGCCTTTTATTTTCTCTTACACTGTGTATTAACACTAATTGCTGCAAACTTTCAGATTACAACAGTACTGAAGAGAAATTCTGATCCCAAGAGCAAGGCTTGGTTGATTATTTAAGAGCCAGCAGTCAGTCTGACAAATTTGCAGAGGGCATGTAGAAGTTGCCTGGAGAAGGCACCAGTTTGTAGACACAGCAGCCAAAAAGCTATTAGCGGGAGTGAGATGGATTTATTACAGAAGCACTTACCCACACTCGCTATGTGGCTGCAGGAAGCTCGAGAGCATTTATAGCTGCCGGTGGCTGTTTGAAGTGACCCCATGGTCCACACGGAACCCAGGAGCTAGGAGGGAGTCACTGAGACACCAGTTACCTCCTTCCTTCGGCACATCTCAGCTCAGAGCACTTCCCAGTCTCCAAAACTGCAGTACAAGTAGAGAAGCCACCCAGGAAAAGCTTCATTCACATAAACCCTGAGAGCAGATCAATAACACCAGGCAGTCTTTAAATTTATTTAGATATTTCACTTTTCGGGAAGAACGTAGCTGGATGCTTAACTTTGCATCGTGCCTGGAGTCAGTGGGGCCAAATGTTTGTAGCAGTTAAGTAGCACTATTGTGCAGGACAGTTTGGCACTTGAATCATTCTTACTCAAGGTTATCATCATCTCATTTTTCATATGGGAACTAAACACAGGAAGAGGCCAGAGATGACATAAGGTGTTAATTCTTTACAAAGAGGCAGTCATTACCCACTACCACAGAGCAAACAACTGTGGTTTTCCACTAGCATGCTTTAGCCATTACAGCCATCCCCACAACTCCTTATAGCCAGGGTTCTTGCTCCTGTTCTGCAGGACTTTGTAGTTATGTCACAATTATTTTTTTTTGTTCTATTTAGCCAAATAGTTCTCCAGTCTGTTTTACAGGTAGCACTGTTAATCTGTAGAACTGTGTGGATCTGAACAGGTACACACACTGGCAAAGGAATGCATAGGGGTGAAACTATCAAGGGAGCAGGCAGAAATACATTCTGCCAAAGCTGTTGCTGCTGCTGATTCTGCAACAGTAAAGAGTGGCTTCAGGCTGCAGCCCAGCCACTGCCTCCCTCTGTCCAAGGCTCAGTGCTCCTAAACACACAGCTTTCTTAAAGGGACACAGAGCAGCAGACTGGGCTCAAAGCCACATCTGTTCCCAAAGGCTCATTCACAACGGCTGAAGGTTCTCACTTAGAAAAGCACGTACAGGATAAAAAGCCAGCAGACTCAATCAGGAGGCAGGGGCATCTTCCACAATCTGCTTTCTTTTTCAAATGTTTCCTTTCTCTTTTTTTTTTTTTTTTTTTTCTTTTTTTCCCTCTTTGCTCATTTGTTTTGTCTCTTGGGTTGGAACTGAGAGCATAAGCTCAGAGATTCAGTGTGAGCTTATGTTCTATTCAATTAAAACTCATGTACTGTGCCCATGCAAAAGGTGAATGGTATAAAGCTGGCTTAATTTACATTAAGATATTCATAATGCTGTTAAGATATATTCATAATGCTGAAAAAGCCAATGTGTTCCATGGTTTTGTTTGGCACTTGCTCTCAGAGTTTCTGCCACCCTGAACCATCACAAATATTTCTGTTTATGTGGATGATACAGAAAAGCCTTTCCTGTTTCATTACATAAAATTTTGATAGTTGTGTTTTCCTTTGTCCATTCATCTCTCATGAAACCCACAGAAAGCTCTCGCTTTCCATCTGTTCTTCCAACACTGAAGTCTGGAGTTCCTTTGAAATTTACTTTGGCATCTACTTCCTCAAGCAAGCACCTTAAAAAAAATTAAGCTGGAAGTGGGACCCCACTCCAGACTCAGGACAAAAATTCAAATATTGAATTCTAGGAACAAAGATTTTGGGAAAACAAAACAAAACAAAAACAAGACACTAAAGCTACAACAGAGCCTACAAAATCTAGGTTAGATTTCATACTATCAATTCCATTAGTTGAGTTAGGTAGACATTCAGTTACACAGCTTTTCTATTCAAGTCAAGTCATTCCTTACTGCTGATAGCAGGTAAGGGAGAAACAATAATTTCAGAGAATACTTGGGAAATAACAAACATTCCCTTAGTCACTGGCACTCAAATGGGTCTAAAACTGTGACTGGGCATTTGCAATTATTCAGAAGATAGGAATGAAGACCAACTCCTCACCATCCTACAGTTCTAGGTTTAAAAAACCAAAACAAACAAAAAAAGACCCTCTCCCCATAATACTTTGAGCTATGATAGTTAAGGCACTGGATTGAGAGAAGGAAAATCTGAGTTCAGTTTCTGGTTCTGCTATTAATTTCCCACATTATCAAGGGCAAATCACTTCAGATTGAGAGCTCACATGCCGTCACATTGCCATGCATCAGATAAGTCACACCAGTCAGTTTGCAGACACCTAGCATGTGGCAAGTGCAAGGTGACATGACTTCATGTAATTCGGTATTGAATAAACTCATATTATATATAAATATATTATATATAAATATATAATATATTGATACATAATATATACATACATATAATACATTATATAATATATATATATAAACCTGGCACTTGTGGTGGACATAACTTACTTTAGGCAAAAAGAAAAGCCTAGTGATAAGTCTGAGCCCCTGCGTTCAACACAACATTTAAGCATGCAGTTAAGTTTCAACTCTGTTTCATTCATTCACTTATGAAATGCTCACATCTATTCCTGCCTTGTCTATCATTAATATCTGGGTTATAAAGGTTTGAAGATATTTTCATACCTAATACAGAAGGGTCTGAACCACAGTTGAGGGGTTTAAGGACTCCCATAATACAAAGAAGTACTACTAATCTGATTATCAGAATTTGTATTAACTGAAGTTCCTTCCTTTGCAGAGCAGTGCACTGACTTCAACATTGGACTGCAGTCCTAGCAAATAACAAAAAAGATAGTTATCATCTATACACTGACATGTTAAAAATGTAATAGAAACAATCTCAGTGAGGTTGCAGCTTGAAGCAATTTGAGTATTTCCTTTTGAACCCTGAACTGATGAAGCTGAGTTTCTGTTTGGATCTCTTTTATGATCTATAAGCAGCAGACACTCCCCAAAGTGTAGAATTTGCACATAAGTTCCTATTTAGAACTGAATAACATGCTTCCAAAACAGGAGAGAGCTTTGAAAATCCATTTCTGCTGAAGATGTTAGTACTTGTCTGCACTAATCTGCACGTTGGTGAAAATCTTTCCCATTTACACTAGAATTGTCATTTCAGGATTGTTACTGCCTAATTGCTTCCTTGTTCACTAGACTGAGAATTAAATAGCTTTCATTCAATTCACTCCTGACAACTTAGTAAGCATTTGCTTTGACGAGCAAAACGCACCGTGTTTTAGGAGGTTTCCTTTGTAGCTTAAGGCTTTTCATTAGTTTCATCAGGCCAAAATTTGTAGCTTTCAGAATGAAATTCCAATGCGCGTGGTGCCAAAATTCAACTCACCAATAACAGTAAAGTCAGTGGAACTAAAACTAGGATAAAAATAACCTGTATTCTGGAAATGGATTTTATGACTACCCCGTGTTCTCCAAGTGCTGGGAACACTGAGGACACAAACTTCGCGTATCTTTCAGAGCACAGCACTTACATTTGTTAATTCCAAGGAATTGTTATGCTGAGTGGAAAGCCTGCTCTATCTTGAATTGCTTGGCAGCTTACAGGGTTGTCTCAACATAATCCAGATTTTGTTACTTTCTAGAAATGTCCTGTTTCTACTTGTCAAATAAGCTCATCAGTACACCTTTGTTTAAAGGGGTTTTTGCTGTTTTTTTTTTGTTTTTCTTTCCCTTTTAGATGAGATTCACACCTGTTCCAGGGATTCTGGGGGAAGATGACTGGAGAAGAGCGTGTCATTCAATCTTCCAACCCAGATTAATAGCAAAATGTCAAGTCCATATTTGCATGAAATATGCAAATTTAGGAAGCGCTGGTTCTATAAGGAGAAAGTCTTTGATTATTCAACCTCAGTTTAAAATACTCAAGAGCAAGCTTAAAAAAGGAGCTTCCTATAAGAGAGAAGCTGCTGGTTCTAAATCAGTAGAGTTTAGAATGGCATCCTAAAACCTTTAACCTTACAAAGGGCTCCACTTCAAACACAAAACCAAAATAGGACTGTATCCAACAAGGTCTTGTTTTAGCTGCTCAGTTTGGACTGGGAGCACTTGGGCAATGCAGAGTGCCACCAGAGCCCTTTGTGGCTACCTTCTTATTTCATATAAACACACCTCTTAGAGAGGATGTAGATCCTGGTCTGCAGTGGTTTATCCTGAACCAGCACTGCATGCATGATGGGGACAACCATTATTTCACAGAGTGCAAGTTTGGTGTGGAACTTGGGCTCTTCAAAGTGGCCTTTCTAGAAACATTCAGTGCATACATAGGAGCTTGATTTGCCAAATCACTCCTTAAACCTCTGCTCATTACCCCTCACAGCAATTAGGTGATGTAGAAAAAACTTCTCACATACAGGAAATCAAGAAATTAATTCAATGATTATGCTGTTGTCTATGCAACTTTGACCATCAATAGCAGAACCATGATTAGAACTCAGGAGCATTCCTAGCTCATAACCCTGTGTTTAGTTGATTACATAACATTTATATCTGGATTTGCTACATAAAGAACTTGAAAAAAAATTACACGGGAAGAGGGAGGACCAAGAAAGGACACTATTTCTGCTCAAGTGGCATATTCAGATTAAACAGAACCTCAAACAGCCTAGAAACCCTGCTTCTTCGCCTTCTGTAATCAATTCTTTTTCAGAGATCTACTGTTCACATTCTCTTATAGTAGAAACCTTTCTTGGCAAATAAATGAACAAGCCTGGCTTTTGCAAACCTGACTAAAGGTAGATCAGGAAAGCAAGACTAGCCAAAAAGCCCAGGTCACTGAGAGTGCAGTACAATGGAGAGGGATTAACACCATATTTACTGGTTCTCATTCGCACACCTTTTGGATAGGTGGCTAAATTGTTCAAAAACCAGACCAAACAAGGGGATGTAAAGTAACATACTAACTTCTTTAATAGAGTCCAATCCAATTAAATCAAAACCACTCTGTGAACCCCTGGGTTTATTCACACTAAACAAGTCAGTGGTACATCGTGTTAACCCGATAGCTGATTGCATTTGTACCGGCACCAGGTCCCACATGAAAAATGAGCACCAGTCAACCAGACTGCAATGGTATTTTTTCCATTTTTTTTTCCCCCATAAAACTATTTCTTTCATAGACTTAAAAACAACCAACTAGCCAAGTTATTAATTATGGTACACCTAAAAAAAAAAAAAAAAGAATACTAACCCTAATGTGACTGCTGCTTTAAGAGTGCTCTGTGTCTCGCCTTAGACTGGCTTTTCAGTAGCAATTCACTACAACAGGTCCTAAAATAATAATAATAGAGATTAAAAACCCGACAGCAAGTTTAATGGTTAAAAATAACAAAAACAACCTGTTCTGAATGGTGATTTTACTCAGCAGTTATGTCCTGCTGCAGCACTCACAGCCTCACAAATGGTAGAAGGGGTTCAAATTCTCTCACCTTCTTTATTTTCTTCTTGTTTGTTTTTAAAAGGACAACTGCATTGTAATCTGCTAGGTACCATGGGACATTTTTCTTAACGTTATGTTCAGTCAATAATGGGACTGTTTTCAAAACTTACTGTGTTTTCCTGGGGTGGGTTAGGGAAGATAGGAAGAAGAGAGAAAACAGAATACAGCTCCTTGTAGCTGTAGCTCCCACGTGCCTTGGTTACTATGACTGTCTCTAATTCTCAGATCAGTGCTCGTTTTTTATTCTAGAAGATCATGATGAAACACTGGCTGCAACTTTTATAGCTCCACTTGGTGTTTTAAATCACGTCTCCTAACCAAGGTCACCATCTTCTGTAAATCATCAGCTAAGAAGCATTTTTTCCCTCTCCCTAGTGAAGGTTTAAAGGTGGGGTAGGGCATGAGACAAAGAGGGAAGCTAAAATGAATTTAAAAAAAAATTGCAGCTATAGAACCAAATTTCATTATTTCCTCTTTCATTCACAGCATCTTATCATTATAGCCAGACTGCTGCTTTGCTTTAAGGTCAGACTGATCTCATTTTCCCTCTGGCCCCATCGGTTGCTGGTCGACCTCTGGATCCACAAGGGATGATGCAAATGCTGACTGGACGATCTGAAACCCAAATGACTCCAGAAGAGACATGTTCTGTTGGGGTGAAAAGGGGGATCCCAGAGCAGGACCAAGGTCCCCCAGTGGGCCACCAAGGGCCCTGACGTGAACTTTCTGTATGTGTTTGTTCAGATAAGACTTTGATCTGAAAAAGCTGCCGCATTCAGGGCAAGGGTACTTCTTCTCTGCCTCCGTCTCCATTTTGTTTTTGCTGACTGCCATGTCACACGAGAAGGAGCCATTGGTGCTCTGTTTCTCAGGAGTCTTGAGGTCACTGGTGTCAGAGAGATCTCCATATGAATCGGAACTTTCAATCGGGTCCGAATGTGAACATTTCTGTCCTTCTATGGGAAAAAGAAAAAAGTTTTCAGAAACTCATCTGCCAAAGTACTTCTTTAACATGCACTCAAATAGCTTACACTGTTTATCACCTGATTCAGTAATGCCTGTCATGGTGGAATGATTCACATGTAACACTAAAATTCCCCAAATTCTGAAGCCTTAGAGCACAGATCCTCTACAAACCAAAGGGCTGCTATCAGAGCAACATCCAAGTTTTCATAATGGACTTGTGGTACTGAATGCATCTATTACGTGTCTCTGGGTTTTGAATCCAAAAAGATTATATCTCAGGCACTGCAGAAGCATAGATCTGACTGAGTTTTCAACCATACAAGTCACTCTCCACACTTCTGAAATATAGTTGATACTTTGAGCCTAGAAATCTGATCTAAGACTACTGAAAGATGTAAAGAAATCTGGAGATATTTTACTCATTCACTCAACAAAGCAGCAGTGAGTTACTGATGTTTCAGAGGTGCAACTCCATTTAACCTCGAGAAGCTGTTTTTTAAAAGTTAAGCACAGCACTGTTAGAAGTGAACTTTATTATCTGGAGTTGATCCATCCTTAAGCAGCGTAGTGAAAAACAGGAATTTACGACACTATTTTAAGCCATTTGGATGCATATCCTGGCAAAGTCATCAGCATGTCTGGAGTGTTCCTCACTCTCCTTTGGCAATATGTCAAGAAAGTTTGTCCACACTTTTTGCTCAGTTTATTTGAATGAGCGTGGGAAAACGAGACATACTCCCTAAACAAGTGTCTGAATACAAGTAAGCTGTATCAACTATTAACTCTGAAAGACCAAAGACCCACTTGGCACCACCCAAAAGACAGATTTGCTCGGGACTCAGTATTATGAACCAAGCAGGATATGCATGAAATCAATACAGCACTGAGCTGGAGTAAATCTCTTGTTAAATCAGCACACCACCCAGAACCAAAGGGTTTCTGTAGTAACTCTGCAGGGACTTCAATAGCAAAAAAAAAAAACCATCAAAAATCCCACAACTGGAGCTTTCCATTGGCACAGACTTTGTTTAACCCAGCATGCTGTTTTTTCCTGGGCAAGAAAACAACCATGGTTTCATGGTTGCATTCTCGGGCTCTCTCTCTGCCTTCACTAGAAATCAGAAGCATGGTTTGGTTGACACAAGATTCAAGTGTAGTGGACTATGGACTTGCCAAGGATCTGCAGCTCTCGGGTAAAATGCAAACACTGCTCCAAGGTCAAGATGAACTAACACAGCTTTTCCCCAGACTTATTAAATCACCTAAGTGATGACAAATGTTGCATGCTATGTGATTTCTCTGCATGTTCCTCAGATTCTTCCCAGTATCTTTCCTGTCCTTCCTCCCTCCTTCCCTCCCCTTTCTCATGCCCAGCCCAACATCCCACAACACCAGGTTCTGCACAGAGAAGCAAGGTGCAGGGCAGGAAGTCTCTTGCCTTTGATGCCATAGGTTCTGACGCAGTGGAATGCTGCTCCCCCATTCGGGATGGACTCCTGGTGCCTGGAGACCTGGGGAAGGGGAACACCGTGGTGGGTTTTAACATGGACCTTTAAGTAGGAGGCAGAGGAGAAACCTAAACAAGATAAAAGGAGATGAGATCCTACCATCAGCAAAGACACACATCTGTCTTCCCTGTTCCTTACATCTTTTTCCCTATTTACAAGGTTACCATTATACCAGCTTGATTTCTGGTTACCTACAACATGTTCAAGTACATCCCTAGACATAATCAAACAATGCACACAATACATATCTTTCATTAGACATCATTTGCTTATTGGAGGTCATGATGAAAGATCAACAGCCTCCTTGAGAAACAAATCCTATACAACCCTAGCAGGAGACATGACACAAAAAGGCACCCACATATCTTCACCTTTTTTTATTTAATTTAAAATTCTTTTTATACTTTGCGAGACATTTCAGAGTATTTTACTTTTGCAGTTAAGACCTGAAGGAGTACAATTTAGTAACACAGCTCTTCAGAATTTACTTTGCCTTCCCATAGTTTCCAGCATCTATAGTCACTCCTAGAAGACAGAAAGCTGAACCTATTCAGATTTTAAGAAACACAGTTTTGTCGTATAGTAATTTTTGAAGACTATTTTCCCCATTCAGCTCATCCTGAGTTTTAAAGACCATACTGAAAGTCATATTTTGTCTGCAGTTAACAGAAAAATATATATATACCAAAATGAAATCTCAATATTTCTATTAGCTGCTTAGACCACGAAAATTAAAAACGCATATTTAAAACAGTTCTAAATAAAACATTGTTTTAAATTTGCTCATGTGCTACTTTTTCTATTTCTTAACTCTCACAAATAAGAACTTTTTCTTTAATGTAATAAATTACCTAACAAATACTTTGAAACATTTTAAAATTCAGATTTTAATAAACTTGTAGGTAGTTCTAGAAGCATTTGGACCACACATGAGGCACGTGGAGGACAGAGTTCTGGACACTTTTTATACAGGTAAGCCCACCAATAACCATGTTATAACACTTCCATGTTGGAAACATTTTCCTTTAAGAACAGACAGCAAACCACACGTTCCACAGTCACAGAGCTCCAGGTTCCTCTTCTGCAAACAGGCAACCTGAGACTTGGATTAATTCTTTTTAAACCAATACAGCATTTGCAGCATCAGCCCTTGAAACAGAACTTTCATATCAGTGCTTCAGTTTATGACCAGACATACCATCATACAGCCACTTTTACAGTGACACAACTGCACTGACATTTGCTGAGATATAATAATAATATATTAGGATAGATGCAAAATCAATGCTGGCTCACATGTTGGGTGCTGAATGCAATAACAAATAAGGAGAATTCCCTCTGCCTACCCAACAGAATACTCACTGCACAGCCATGATCAAAGACTGTTCAGCAGTTAAGAATTACATGCACAGGACATGCAGAGCAAGACAGAACTCCACAGCAATTTGCTGGACAAAAAAGGGGCAGGGAGCTGAGAATGAACAAGAGATAATTGCTGCAGATCCCTGAGTTGAAAATGAAAGTAAGGAAAATATATAAGATACAGCAAGAAAACCATAACAGAAGAAATTGCGAACAAAAATTGGAATCATCTCGGAAAAATCATCCAGGGAGCAAATGTAAGGGGATTTCCTTCTGAAGTAAGGCAAGCCTTATGCTCAGGCACAAAACGCTGCACTAATGTGTCACTGGGCTGCAAGAGAATCTGTTTTTCCAACAAAAATGAAAAACACACTGCAGACACGGATAGAACTGGTGTGTGACTGCTAGAGAAAAGGACCAATGTCCAGGGGTAACGGTGATACGTGCAACTCAAGGTGTTTCCCTTATTTCCTACATCTCTAATGACTGCATGCATACTGAGATGAGTTTCTGTAGCAACACATTAAAATCCTCCTGCTAACCATTAACAAAGGACAACACAGTTATTCAGTGTGTTTCTATACTACAACTGACACAGGGAAATCTAGAGTTGTAATCTCTGCTATACAGTCATTTTTCTGAACTCTGCAATTCTATTTGTAGAATACATTGTTTTATATAATGAAAGCTGCCTGCAAAGTGTGTTAGCTCCCCTTTCTGTACTTGGCAGATGAACATGTGAGTCATCAGCTTCTATCAAGGCAGGAAGAATGCCAGCTACTTCATAAGAAGCTGTTTGAAATGAGATTTTTTTGGCTTTATTCTATTTTTTTCTGAAGCACTCAGTACTGCTTTTTGTTTTTTTCCCATTAGGCCTTAATTAGGAATAGCTGTCCTAGGAAGATGGGGGTGAATTCACAATCAATAATCCTTTACTTTTTAAAATCTCTTTAAAAACAAGACCAAGCTAATGCAGAGCACAAAGTGGCAGTACGTTTCAAATAGAAGTATTTATTGCTTTACCCATACACAGCTCACAGCTTTGCGGAGCAGATTATTTCTTCACTCCAGACTAATCAACATTAAAAACATGCACTAAAAAAATCCCAATGTTCCTTCATTTCTCAGGTAACATCCACAGGGAGACAAATACAGAAGTAGCTGTAGGATGCTCCTTTTTCAAAAATTCTGATTTGGACTTAGCCAGAACATTTGGAGAATGCTTCCAGCTTCAGTCAGCTTAGTCAGCTCTGTATTCAGCATTAAAAATACAGTAATTCACTTTATTCTAAAAATAATAATCTAACTTGTGATTAGAACATGCACTCATCCCCAAACTCCTGATTTCTGTGGAGCAAACAATGCCTGTGTCTGAACTAGAATGTGGCTGTTCCAACTTGAACCTGACAACAAAGCATCAGCTTCAGACTTTCCGAAGTCATGAAGCTTGAAGTTCTTTGAAAAACCCTCACAAGCAAATGAAGTTCCTAGGAAGGGTAAGAGGATATTATGTAACAACTAAGCAGGAACAAGGCTTCTGGATTTAAACTGATTTTAAAAGTCTTTAAAAGTGAGGATTAAGTTTCCATAAGCACATTTTCCATACTTTTTAAAAACAAAACAAACAAATCACTAAATCTCAGAAAAGAACACTGCACAGCTCCCTTGATTAGAGAAGATTTAATTGCTTACATAATTACTCTAAGCAAAAAGACCCTTAGTAAGAAAATAACCTGAAGAAAATCAACTCACGGATGGTAATTTTTGGACATTATAGTGCCACTTTTGTAAAATACATAACATTAGCAAAAGGGCATATGAGTGACATAGTAAACAACTGCAGCCACTTTCAGTCAGACACTGAGATTCTTTTCTCCTAAACACACCATGCCTTTAGGAGAACACAAGACACTTGATTAACTTCTACAGAAAAGCCTTCAGCCTGAAGGGATGAAGTGAGGATTCTGAATTGGTATTTCCCACTCTGATTTTGACACTAGGATGAGTTCAGCAGTACAAGTCACCTTTTTATCCACTTCTTTTATTGCTTTTTTGGTGGGCCAGCATCCTACTTCCCTTTACAAGCAGCTCTTAACATTTTTCATCATCTTGCTTGACAATTATTATATCCAGCACTTCAGTTCTAATTAAAAAACACAGCAGCACATCAGCAGGAGGAAGGATAAAACTGCATTGTAGCTCTAGCAGCCACAGCTGGGGGCAGCGTGCAGCTTCTGACTGTGCCAATGCCCATCAAATAGAGGTTTCCAATGCATACATTTTCCACTGTACTTCTGTACGTCTTCAGCCTCTACAATTTAAGATATCTATTTTAAACAGTGAACATTCTAATTTGATTCTAGAAAGCTCTGGATTAAAAAAATCTCAATATCATGGATCATAAAACAGTAATCAAAATTCACGGCATGTAACAATGCCCATAATACAGTTGGTTGACAAGGCCAGTCTATAATTTCCCTTCCCTATGAATTTTAACACAAGAGAAATATTTAGCAACAATTCAACAGTTTTGTTACGGTTTGTAAGTGCTGATGTATAATGGAATTCACAGCAACACATTTGCAGTACATAAACCATAAGAACAAAGTAGCAGCGAATAGTTTGCTGTACAAAACCCCTCTATTTTACTTAAATTCCTACTGTATATCTAGGCCTGTAAGATGTGAATACTCCATTTAACCACTTCATTGTTTAATCACCAGATCTGTCTTTGTCATGCTGGCTTAATGGTAAAGGAGCCGCAGTGACATCTGGTGGTAGTTGAGTTGAAACTCAAGTTCATAAGCCCTGGAAACGTGACAATTTCTCCCAACCTACACGTGTTTGTTTAGCACCATGAACCCCTGAGGGAGAGCAGGACAGCACCTTGCATAGCATCCAGAGTGTTGTTACAACAGAAAGAACAGAATAAGCTTAAGCAGCGTTTCAGAAGAGAGTCCTTTATCTGAAGAGGAAGCCAGAATCTGAAGATTTTCAACACAGATACCATATCTAGTCAAAACGTTAGTGTCATTTTCAGGACCTAACATATGGCTACAGCACTGGAGACACCTCCCTCACAAGCCAATGTCTCTCAATACTCACCATCTCCTCATCATCTCAAACCTCCTACAGCCCTCTCATTATTCAACACAATTCTCTCACAAGATTTGATTTCATCTCCCTTAAAATAGGAATGGGAGCACACATTACCAAAAAACACCTCATCAGAAAAAAAGAGATCCCCAAACACAGCAGCAACATGTTGCCATACTCACTAGGTTTGTACACGAGTGTGAGCCAGCAATACATTCTGAAGTTGACTATTAATCATTCAAAAAAATGCAAGCAAACAGGTATTAGCAAGTCTAAATTATTTTTTCTTCTTTCCAAAGTTTGCCCAGCTTGCCTGACATCCCGCAAAGCCTAAGTCTACAACTGTCTCTCCAACTTGGCAGTACTAAAAACAGATGGAAAAAGTTGAAAAGCTGTATTTACACAAATAAAAGTAAAGCACATTTTAGTGCTTTACTCTCTTTAAGAGACTTGTTTCAGAAATATATATTAATACAAAGCAATTTCTTGGGAGAAGTGGGAGAAGCAGTTTGACTCTACTGCTGCACCCAGAGCTGAACAAGATAATAAAATGTACATTCTTTATGTACAGTATATAATTCTCAACTTCATGTGTATCTCAAATATTCTTCTTCCAGACTGTACACAGGAACCACCCAAAAATGTGCATGATGAACAAGGCAATGTATCATGGTTATTTGGTAGTAATCTGGATACTTCGCAAATAAAATTCTTTAAATTGCCTAAGAATAATCTGCTTCAGACTCAAAGTTCTTTAGGAACTATTAACTATGTAAGAGCAGACCTATGGCACCACCAGTTTCAAAGTTAAGAATTCAATAAGGAAAGCAAAGAATATGTACACATATATGGTATTTATATGCCTCCTGTTGCAGTCACACAGCCTTACAGCTTCCTTCGAGCATTCTCCCAGCCCACTGAAATGAAAAAAGTTGTTTCTTCATTACCTCGGTTACAGATAGTGCAGAAATTGCTTGGTCCTTCACTGTGTTTCTTCAAATGATCTGCCATATATGCTGCCCGCAAGTACTTCCCACACACCTGGCACGGAACTTTGTCTTCATGACACGCTAGGTGTGAGCGCAGTCGATCACGTGTGGCAAAGGAAGCATTACAAGTCTGCAGGTACAACGAGAACCATGTGACTCAGCAGCCCTGCTACAAGCACCGACACTGTCAAACCTATTTAGCATTCTTTAGAGTAAATACCTCAGACCCTGCATATACAGATCATATGATACACAAGCCATTTCCCCACAGTTAACAGTTCAGACCACCCACATATCACACAAGATGTGGTTACTACTTGAAAGAATTAAGAAAGCAAGAAAACAGCTCTAATGTACTACAGATAATAATAGTTCAATATAGATTAGAGTTCTAAGGCCTTAGCTCCTCACTGAGCAAGAAGATATTAATACCAAGAAATATTTAATAACAGAAGTAGCATTACAGTAAATTCTGCTACTTCACTGAGCCATTAACATCACTTCAGACCACTCAAAATGTCCTCTTTGACATTTTCCTAAATTTTGTCCTCTGATACAATCTGACTTGTACAGAGGATTTCTCCTTTGGACTAAGAAGACACATAATAAAGCATCAGAGAATTGCCTGGGATGAAAAAAACAAGACAGTAAAAGAGCCATCCTGGTACCCCCAGCAGCAGTGCAGACAAAGTGCAGAAGAGAAGCCTCAGAAGTGAGCAGGTATCAAAACAACTGCATAGCAGTGTAGTCTGTTTAAAACTTACCCCTGATCAAGCTATCATATCTCACTCACTACCATGAAACAAGCTTGATCTGCCATGAGATAATATTGGTTCTACGTGCCCACTTCTCAGAGGTAATCTGTATGACAGATGAGAGACAGTTCCCTCCCATGTTCATAATCACAGCAAGTGGCAGCTGTGCAGACTATGTATATGCCTACTACAACAGCCTGTCAGTTCTGAAAGGCTTGCTGTATTTCTAGCGTGAAGGAACATAGTAAACCATCAGTAACACACTGTACAAGTTATTATTGTCCAAAACCACTGCTCACAAGTGCAAGAAGGGAAACAAAAGCAGGTATGTGTTAGAATGACCAGACCAAGTGGGCAACAGTGACATCCCAGAGTGCACAGTGTTTGGTTTATACCACACCTTCATGTAAAATAATGCAGGTTTAAGTTGTACAACCAGAGTCCCCTAAGAAATAATATAAGAAAATTAAGTGACTTGGGAACTGGATACATTCTGTCATTTCAAGTATCAGGGTGCAGTTAAACAGCTCCTTCACCAGAGATAGGCTTGTTATATTAACAATCTTAGTAAAACTACAAAATTACAACTTCAGATAAACGAAATCGATAAATACAGGTAAGGGTAACCTACACAATTTTGTGTAATTTAGTGAATCAACAGCTTGACCTACAAAACACTACAGGCAGCTGAAAAGTACCTATCCATTTCAACAGGCTTCGGTTCATCTGACCCTGTGAGATGCTTAAGTAAATAAATTCCCATGGAGCTTAGGCTACTCGGCAGCAAGCACAAGACTTAGCACCTCACCGGATCAGGACTTAATGTACTTAAAAAAGCAACAGTAAAATCATCTGAATTTCCATGAGACACAGAGTTTAGCTAAGCTCACCAGACAAAGAATCATAAATCACAAGCAGTGAAGATTAAGAGGCAAATTCTTAAAAATGAAAACTTTCTCTATTTGAAATCTCAGGACACAGCGCTGAGCAAAAGAGGTGCAGCTTTCTCTTACTTAAATGTTATTTGAGGTAAACGCTCAGTTAAGTTAGGATTCCAGCTCTGATGCTAATCAATCTGTTGGATATCAACTAAAAGTATATAACCAGATAATCAGGGATGACAGCCAAAAGACCCATCATCAATTACTCTAGCAATATTGAGCCACAATGAGTGTCCATACGAAAGCATTGGGAGTGCATTAGTTTACAAAGCAGACCAGAGACAAACCACATAAATACACGGACGCCAGAAGTAAAATTGTATCTGTCCCATACTGAAACGACCAAGTTGAAAGCTTAGAGAAAGGCAATATAATCGTTTATGTGTTGCTGCTGAGTTTTGTAAAGTTCACCTTTGGATAAGCTGTATAGCAAACACATCTGTGAAGAAGCTTTGAAAAAATAATCAGTCCAGTGGAGAAAGCAAGAACCAGTTTAGCTGAATCATAACGATGGGAGATAGGACTATAATTAAGGAAAACCCCAAAGTTAATATTCAAATAGTTAATATTTATAAAAGTATAGAGCAAAAAAAAAAAAAAAAAAAAAAAAAAAAAAAATTTTTTTTTTTAAAAAAATTTAAAAAAAAAAAAAAAAAAAAAAAAAAAAGCAAAAAGTTTTATTTTATAAAAGATGTGAAGTGCTAAACGAGTACTAAGGATTTATCATTAATTGTTAATCATAGAAGAAAACTCCAGTGCTCTCCTATCAAACATTGCAAAGGTATATAAAGAGACCAAAAAGAATATATATATATAAAGTTTAAAAAACATTGTTGAAGAAATACCTCTTGAAGTTTCAACTTTTCTATGGCTGTGGATGTCTCTGAGCTTATTCCATGGTGGCTGCCATTTTCCTGCTAATAGGCAGGAAGTAAGAGAAATTAGGACAGGAAGAAACTCATTCTGCATTGAAATCAATGGGAAAAGCACTGGACTTGGGATGCCAATTTTAGGTTTATTTAAATAGATATCTTTCTTTAACAAAAGCTCTGCTTTAACTTAACCTGTATTTTTCTCTTTTTTTTTTTTTTAACTTCAGTTGCCAGAGGAACAACCTTTCTCTTGTCTCACAGAAGGAACAAACTTCTTGTTCCTCCCCTTTTTTACTTCTTGTCCACAGAACCGCAGCCTAACTTCTATACCAATCACACTCAAAAACCAACAATACATCCTTACGTCTTCCCATGGTGAGCCAGCAAACCGACCTGTCCCTTATGGCCATAGCACTGACTTACCCCTTCTCCTTTATCTGGAACTCAAATGTAAGTTTAAAGAAAGAAAAAAACAAAAACACAAAAAAGAAAAAAAAAAAAATCATCAGTGCAACAATACAAGGGAAATATAGCCAGAGTGCTACTTGGTGTCTGGTCTGGACACCAGTGCAACTTCTTGGATCAGTTTCCTGAGATGCCCTGGTCTATGGAGGTCCTGCCCTTTTTGCATCTATTTTAACAAAAAAGCTGGAATCAGGTCTGTGTGTGGTGTGGGTGCTACAAGGGCTGGAAGTTAGGAGAGTTTTTCAAAGGTCTGTGAAGCCCAACTATTACTGCAGGGAGACTGAGTGCAGGACTGTGTGCCGAGCACTCTAAGCTGTAGCTGTTGCAGTCACATTCAGATTACAACCATCCTGCTTCTCATAGTTTCATTTTATTTGTTTTAAAGTTGGGTTGACACCCTCCTTCGTTTTGTAGCCCAAAATATACCATGATGCCATACGAACAAAACATTAGATATCCACTGGTGTGTAAAGATACACAAGGGTTCAGGGAAACAGCCAGTGGATTTTGTTTAAATTACAGCATCAATTACTTCCAAGAACGTCAATAGGACAGAGGATTCTGAAAGGCTTTTCTGTTTACCTAAAGAATACTCTTTTGCTGTAAACATTAACAAAGCATGACAATAACAGGAATTTTCAACAGGAACTCGACAGATTCAAAAAGGATGCTCAATACTGCTTGGCCTACTCTCACAGGGGCTGGCTTGCCAAATGAAACCAATGAAAATGAGAATGAAAATCTGGAAAAAAGCAAGCCAATATTAAGCTATTTTCCTTATTAGTGGCCAGGTACTCTGCTCTGATACATGTCACAGAACAAAAGTGTTCCTGGTTATGAGATAACCAGAAGGAGAACTTTATCAATTTATGTACGAGCTTTTAGATTCGAAACAATTTTCAGTGCATGGCATCCCTTTGTATGGTTTGTATAACATATCAAAATCCAGGCATACTCAAGGTTTTCTTCATTTGACAGCATATTGTTAAGTCTTTTTTCAAAGACACACAGCAGCTCTTTAACAAACATTCTACATGTTGTTTAAGATTAATGAATTATTAACTTTGCAGAGTTAAGCATTCAAAAATGAAGAACAAATCAAGCTTGAAATGACAATCTCAATTCTGCCCTCGTGCTTGTAATCTGTAGATTATAGCTTCTAACTGAAATAAACAATGCATATAATGTCACAGGGCTTTAAACAGCAAATACATAATGAGAAAGACAGTTCTTAGAAATGCTATCACAGAATACATGTGTGCAAGGAGATAAGAGTTGAGCTTGGCTGCACAATCCTAGTTTCTGTACTTCTTGACTTTCCAGCTCTTAGTGTATCCTCTGATTCACACTTGCACAGTTTATATTTAGTCCTCTTAAATTGATACGAAAACTATTAAGTATCAGCTGGTAAAGGACAGTTCAAGCTCCTCAGTGTTATTCATCAATTGCATATATTCAGTAACCTTGATACCAACTAGCAAAAGAATCAAGAGTTTCTGGTTACGTTGAGACCTAGGTATTACTTTCACACCTGCAAACAAACATATGCTTAGGGACAGCATTTTCAGTTATCTTCAGTTTATCCACTCAGACCCCTTGCTATCCATCCCCAAAGTGTGAGATCTTTTTTGCAAGCAGAATTTTCCAATTTATATGAATCTTTCCAATTTATATGATACCCCTGAATCATCTTAGTAAGTTCAAACCAATGTAAGGTTTTTATAAAGTAGAGAGCAAAATCACCATGAAGGCTCTATGGCCTGATTTACAAAGGTGCTGAGCTCCTGCAGACTTTACTGAGGGCAACAGAAACCTTTAGATGGCTCTATACTTCCAAAAATCTGTTTAAAGGATTATTAAAACTACAAAAACCTTTCAAAAATCTCACAGTTTGGAGGAGACATAGCAAAGGCGTGTCAAGAGGTGGAAATAAGTGCAGATGAGGAGGCAGCAATCATGTGGGATTGATGAGGTTTGTAAAACATTAAAAACTTCAGAAGGAAAAAAAATCTAACTTTTCTGTCTTCAAAGAAAATGAAGTGATCATGCTCAATCTTTCTTAAAATAAATAGATAACCAAGCCTTTCTTCAGAGAACAACCATGCAGACTGCTAGCCCAACAAATGTCTTAGAAGTTTGCCTAACCAATTTGTGAAGACAGTGGGTGATAATGGAAGCTGGTTCTCAACTCTGGTTTTAATTAACACTTCCAGGCACCTTTTAAATCTCTACACAAATGAATTACAAAATATCTTTCTTGATTTGTTCATTCAAACCTCAATGAATGATTAATTTACTGTAAATATATGTATATGTATATACTACTTTGTGACATCATATTACAAAGATACTGAAAGAATACTGTGCCCATATTATCTATGCTCTCACTGGGAGGAAAAAAAAAAGCTTCCAATTTTGCTCAGTGCAATGTTCTGAATGCTATGTGATAAAAAGAGCACCCTGGCAAGTGACAATAATTTATGAATTTTATTTGAAATTATTCTAAAAACAACAAACCAAGTCAACATTGGAGCCTTCTGTTGGTAACTGCAACAGAGTGGGAAAGAGGAGGGTGGGAAAAAGAGGGCGTTCTCTGTGACATTGGCTTAAGCTCTGTGAGTGGGTAAGAGATCTGGGGAGGGTCAGCAGCAGGGAAGAACAGTGGAGCAGTAGGGAAGAACACAGTGCAGAAGCAGAGGGAAGCAGGAGGACCAGAGCAGCAAAGGGACTGGAGGACAGGAGGAATGTTAAGCAGCTGTGGTGGTGGAACGCCTACTTCCAAGTACTTATCCAATTCACACACAGGTGGTATTTTTTTGGATACTTTGTAATTCTCTGCACATTTACAAATCTAACACCTTAAAATAAAGATAACCCATATGGCAGTGTAAGCCCCGCCAGCTCCTACCTGACACTTGTGAGGTCTCTCTGAGGTATGCACCTGTTTGATGTGTCCATTCAAGTGGTCTGGCCTTCAAAGAAAATACACATATGCACACTTGTAACAAATACTAAAAGTAAATGTCCAATTTTAACAAAAAAAAAAAAAAAAAAAAAAAAAAAAAGACAATCCCTGTGGTGGATCTATTACAGATGTTGTGACATTTAACTTTCCAAGACCCAGATCACCAACAACTGGGACTCTACTTTAAGTACTCTCTCCAACTTGCTAAAAGAGCAGCATTTTTCTTGCAAAGAAGCTCTGACTGAACAAACAAAGCAAACAGGAAATACAAGCTACAATTTTCAAACCTGCAGGTCCCTTTCCAAACTGCTCAGACCTTGACCATCAGGGTGGTTGGGTTTACTGTTGCCAAATATTTGAAAATCAGCCCCTTCTGATTTATGTCCCAAACATAAATGTAAGAAGCCAACTTTAAGCACCTTTGTGCAAAAAGACTGACTCTACACTCTGTTGCTGTGACTTTCTCCATCAGCAAGACAAAAAAAAAAAAAAAAAACTGTCCTAACTCACAACGTTGTGGAGAGACTGTTAATCCAAATAAAGTGCTCTGAAGGTCCCAACTAGAAGGTGCAATGGAAGAGCAAATTATTACTGAAAAAAGTTAGACCATTCTTTGCAATTGGTAAAGCCTACTTTGAGAAGACTGAATAGCTGCAGATTTTCCTGATGGGAGTTTCTCTTAGTGGGAAGAAAGCTTTTCATTGTATGAGCCCAAAACTGCTTGGAAACAAGTTCTCCACCCTCTCCTCCCCCAGCTCTCCAGCTGCGCCAATGGGAGCGCGCAGGGTGGAATTCACGCACTGCGGACAGCAGAGCCCGAGCTGTGCTGCTGGAGCCGGCGCTGCGGTGGGCTGGGGCCGTGCAACCAGACAGACAGACGGACAGGGGTCCTCCCAGGTGCTGCCAGCCTGGCGGCCGCGCTGCTGCACTACTCGCTGGAGGAAAGGGCACTAAAGTCGGGCATCACGCTTCCAGCTTTCCTCTGACAGCTCCTGTAACTGAATACTGCATCTTAAGAAAGGTTCTCTACTTTCCATGCTTCGATTTTAAAAAGACAGATAGATCTTTTTGTGGTTTATTTTCTTAACGGTGTACCTGCTTGCTCACGTTTTAAGTCACTGGAAACAAGGAGAACTCAACACGTATTTTTCACCTCCCCTTGTTGACAAAAATCTCTCATACAGCAACAGTAACTTTTTAATCTTGAACAAAAATGATAAAAATTGGCAGTGGTCACACGTAGCGCTGTAGTAAAAAGCATAATTTGCTTTTAGCTCACATTTTCAGTTTATGACTTCTCATCACTAAATTTGCAGTCCTGAACAAGGAGCGTCCCCCTAATTATTGCTGATTTTAAAAAAGGGGAAAAAGAAGAAATCTGTGTTGCCTTAATTTCTCCCAGGAACAAAAAGCTCTACTCTACCAACAGGAGAGCTAGCAGGCACACACTTCCCACGTGTACAGCTGGGAAAACTCTACCCCTGTCAGCTTTTGATTCATTGTCCTGTGTCAGATCCCTCTCTCCTGCTGAGTCAACAACTGCAGACAGAAGCAGAGTGCAGCTACGAGGGGAACACGGCATGGATGCACCCCCACCCCCCAAGCTCCTAGCCTCAAACTTATATTAACTCCCACAAACAGTGACAACAAAAAAAGCAGCAACATTAAATGCACAGATCTTACGTATGTTGCAGGGCAGAAACAGGATCCCCTTCAGAAGGATGTAAACCCAAAGGACACAAAGATCATGTATTAAAAGATACTTGATGCTGCAGCCTTTGAAATCTCACCTCTTCCTTCACATTTGGGTGATAAAAAACATTACGAACTAAGAGAAATGAAGGGAAGTTAAGAAAAAAGAAAATTTAAAATGGATACGAGAAAAATCATAAACTTGAGATGTACTAATATTTTGCACTTCAACAGCACCTTCCAACTACCTACAAATCAGGAGTCTCCAGACACTACAGTGAGACAGGCAGCTACTAGGGAGACCCGCTTGTCAGAACTGTCATCTGAGGGAGGGACTGCCTGACGTGTACGTGGGTCTGGGACAGAGCTGGGGATGTTTACCCAGGAGCCAACTGACTCCCGGATCTGTGTCTTAATTACTCTTAGATCCTTTTGAGAGACTCAGTACAGCCTCCCAGCGGAAATGATGAAAGTCTCATTTCTCGAGACATTTTAAATTGGAACAGCCAAACTACCCTATGTACAAATTGTTCTGGTTTCCCAAGGGATGGGAAAGACAACTTCCTAGGTCTCTGTGTCTACGATCCTTGGAAGTTCTCTCTTACCTGGAAAAGCCTTTCCCGCAGCTCTGGCAGATGTAGGGCTTTCCCACTGAGCCATCGTGGGATCGAACATGATAGGACATCCTGTCTTTCCGCTTGAACCGTAACCCGCACACTGGACAAGAGTAAGGCTTCTCACCAGAGTGCGACAGCTTGTGCCGATTCAGGTGGTACACGTCCCGAAAGATCTTGCCACAGATGTCACATGCCACCTGTTTCCTTGTCCTGCTTCTTTTTCTGGGCGCATCGGGGTCGTCCTGGCCAGGGATGCCATTTTCACCCAGTCTGGGGGGTGGGATGTCTATGTAACCCAGCTGCAAGCTTGTCACCCCATGCTGAGCCTCGTGCTGACGAAGCCGATTGGCATCAGTGAAAACCTTTCCGCAGAGGCCACATGGCAGGATGCCAGCCTCCCGCAGTCCACCCGGGGCCCCGAACATCATGGAGTCCAAGAGGTTGGCTTTACGGGGACGGCCTCTGCCCCGCTTGGTACCTAAGGTGGGGGCACTAGCAGCAACATTCTGGAAGGGTGAGGCCAGCAGCGGTGGGGAGAGGGGTCCTGCCACCATGGGCAGGCGGTCCACACCCTGCAGCACAGGCAGGGAGGACTGTGCCGCGGTGAGCGCAGCCCGCGTGGCCTCGTCTTCAGGCATGCCTGCAATGCCATTGCCATTGGGCGCCAACGTGGCACCGTTGGTCATGTCGAGAGGGAAGCCGAGGTCAGCGGCCCCCGGGCGGAACAGCATGATGTCGGGGCGCGTGGGGGGCACGAGGATCTGCACGTTGGACTGCTTGATGACCTCCTGGCAGATGTCGATGACAGAGCGCATCAGCAGGAACTTGGCGGCCGTCATGAGCTCCGGGAAGCTCTCCAGCCGCACCACGATGCGCGAGGTATAGGCGAAGTCCAGGATGTCCCCGAACACCTTGGAGCTGATGGTGTGCATCTCCAGCTCCCGCCCCCCCCCGGGGGACCCGCCGCCTGCCGCCGAAGCTCCGCCGGCCGCCGCCGCCTCCGCCGAGCCCCCTTCTCCACCGCCGGCCGCTCCGTCGCCCGGCTGAGCGCTGAACACCGACTCGAAGTACTCGCTGCAGGCTGCCAGCACCGCCCGGTGCGCCGGGAAGCTCTCGTCGCCCACACGCAGGAGCACGTCGCAGAAGCGGCCGCCGTTCTTGCGCTGCTGGTTGAGGCTGTGCAGCATGTCGGCGCTGTGCCGGCTCACCTGGTACGTGTAGCAGCCCGACGAGGGGCCGCAGGCGGCGGCCTCGCTCACCCGCTCCATGGGGCTGCGCCGCCCCGCTGGCGCCCGCAGGGGGCGCGCGCTCTCACGCCCGGCGGCGCGCGCCGCCTCCTGCTCCCCGCCCCTGTCCGGGCCGACGGCGGCGGCGCGCGCTGCGCTCCCTGCACAGCGCGAAGGGATGGCGGGGGGGGGCGAGACAAA